TTCTCCTCTTTGCCTTTGGCACAAAGGTGTCTGACTTTGTCTTCATACTACGTCTGTTTCTAACTCTAAGGTATTATTCCTTCCTTAGCTTTCTACTTTTATTTTATGTTATTTTACTGTCTAAAATTCAAAGTATTAATTCAGTAACAAACATTCTACTCTTTGGATGGCTAGACCCAGTTAGTGAGGATAAAAGTAATGGATCTGTTAGCTTAAAAGAAAAGTAGGAGCGGTAGAAGCTGTTAGATAGCTCAGTTCTGGATTGGTGGTAGATAACGTTATATTATGATGATAGTGGCTTCAGTACAACTGGCTTCCAAGGCCTGAGACCTTTAAATTGTTCCCCTGCAGCATGTGTTCTAAAGGTTACAAATGCAAAAGGTCCCATCACTAGAGATATTTAAAACTAGATTAGACAAAGCCCGAAGAAATATAGTTTAGTAGACAATCCTGAACAGACAGGGGTGGGGACTAGATTATCAAACAAGTCTTTTCCATCGACTGTTTACAAATCATGACTATTAAATTTCAATGCCAGTACAATGTTCTGAAGAAAGGGTACCGTTTTGTCCATTTGAAATAACTAAGTTTAGGCTGATATAAGGCACAAATGGAGAGAGTTGCCAAAGTTGATGTTTGGTATAGTTTTACATGTTAGAGTTTATAAAGGCTTGGCACTATATGAAAAACTCTCAGTGCTTTGCAGCTGATGATGACTTGACACTCAGCTTAGTAAACAACTGTTGAAGGTTAATCAGGATTCTTTTCTGAACTGGATATTTAGAAGCAGGAAAAGTGAAAGCTGTTTCTTCCCTGGCCCCCCTTCTCTTTTCCAAGGCATTGCTAACTTTTATGATTTTTTTCCTCCTCTTTTACTATCTGTCTTTGTGCCTCAGGGCCAGTGAAAGAACACTGCAGATTCTAGATTGCTTTCAGAGTTTGCCTTTGCTGATGATGGATTACCATGTCAATTTAAACGGCATAGGATTAATTTGTTTCAATGATTTCTCTTTAGGCTGAATGCCAGCCTTTTTTCTATCTCTCCCCTTGCTCTTCAGAATGATAATAATAATAAAACCTTTAAAACAAAACAAAACAAAAAACCCTATCCATATCCCACTTTAAAGAGACAATAATAGAAATAGACAAGTTAGGTGTAATGTTGCAACAGAGTTATAGGTTTGAGTGTTTTTATCTCATTCTAAAAGGCTGAAGCATAGAGTCAGTCACATTAAAATGAAATTGGATCCAACGTTTATTCAATAAATACTTGTCTTGTAGGTAATCCAGAGCAGAGTGCTTTTGACACATAAGGACTTAATTTGTCTTGGATAACAAGTTATTAATATGGCACATTTAAACTTGCCACCTACAATAAGGTCATTTAGATCTATAACATGACTCACAGGATGGTTTTAGAGAACTTCATAGAAGCGAGAAACAAAGTCTGAGACTCTGTCTTAGTTCTAGAATGCCGCTACACATTTATTCATTTTACTCATTGTTTGGATCTTTTAAGGAGAAAGTTCACTACAAGATTTTTGTGGAAACTGAAGCAGCTACTTAGAGATCAATATGATACATCAAAATTAGGAAAGTATCTCCAGCTTTTCTTTTAAAACACAACTGAAATGTCCATGTGGAGTAAGTTTTTTTAAATGAATAATCTTTAAAGCTATGCTGCCTCTGCTAACAAACTCATTGCAGGTTTGAAAGTGAAGCTAATGACATTCGGTTCTGAGGGGAAATTCACATACATTTTGTCCATGTGGTTTGCAAATTACTTTTCTTTTAATAACAAGCAAGGAAGAGTGAGCATAATCCACCCATAAATGTTATTGCTCTAATTTGACTGTGCAATGTTTGTTCATGTATTAGCTGTACATGTAAAGAGAGGTGTGCTATATGGTTGTGATCTGTACATAGCTGAGCACACACGGATGCTTTTGGGATTGTATTAGATTTCAAAACCAAAGTGCTGTGCACTGAACTGTTTAAAAAATTGGTAACCTGGAAAAAGAATAAACTCAATTTCACTCTTTCCTTTCTCCAGGCCTAATAATGCCTGTAAGAGTTGCATTATGACAGACATATTTTGCCTTGTGGGCATGCTATACAGAAGACACGTTTTCAGCCAGTATCTCTAGTTCCACAGTAACTGTGAACTGTATTATGCTGTTTTAAAAGTTAAAGTTTTTGGTTGCTCTCAACATAGTATATTTTGTTTCTATAAGAAATAAAATCTCCGTTTAAGCTCTTTGTGGGAAAAAGGATATTACACATAAGTTGAAAAATGCAGGCAAGAAAGGCTAATTGAATGAAAAGAGAGAATTAGGTTAAAAAATAGAGTGCAATCTAGTATCACATTTTCACTAGTGTAACCTGAAATGAAGGTGTCTCAAAGTCCCTAGTGATGCCAGAGTGTTTAGATGTTGGGCACAGATGGAGACACCTATTGAAATGTGTCTGAAGAAGATTAATAGGACTTGTCAGTGTTGGGAAAGCACTGCTTTGCTGTAAATTTCTACTAGCACAAGATGAATTACCGATGAATGCTCAGTTATCAACCCCATCACTATCATTCGACACTAAATCAAATTGAGCAGTTATCTACAATCAGAAAATTTCTTTTAAAAATAGGCATACACCTTTAGGCTGGAACTCTTTAATAAAAGCACCCCGTAAGACAATACTCTCTGTGTTTTGTGTCTCTCTTCACTAAAGGATATATTTTTAAGTTCTCACACAAAAGGCTTCTTTTAAATAATGAACTCCAAGTGCTGTGTAAAATTGGGCTTGTCAAATAACAGAAGAAGGTATTCATAAAATATCAGCTTAATCATATAACATCTTTACTAAGGGCCTGATCCAAAATCTACTAAAGTTAATGGGAGTCTTTCTATTAAGTTCAGTAGGCTTTGGAGCAGGTCCTGTATTTCTGACACAAGGATTTTTTTTCCTGGTGATAACACATAAGTTCCCCTACCTTGGAAGACCATGTATTCTAACCAATTTTAATGCAGAATAGTGATCAAGACTCAGAATATAATAAATAATAATGATAAGAATTAATAAGATAATTAATGATGATAATAAAGAACATATTTAGGAAATGGCAGCGTAATACAATGAAATGCGTGTTGAATGACTGAAAAGCATTTTGAGTAAGAATTTTTCCTTCCATCCTTTACTGAAGGGATAACTATAATGAAAATTTACCAGCAAAGGGACCAAATCTACTAGATCTGCCTTTACCATCTTGATTATTATAATTAAACAATATATTTTTGATTCAGTTCTGAAAAATTTCTTCCCTTTACCCAGGGATAGTAATAATTTTGCCTAGCTGATTTATTTTAACATGTTTCTAAAAAGTCAGCTCCCCCGGCACCTTTTCATTATTATTATAGATAAGAAGAGTCACTTGTGTTTAGGGTGGAATGCCAAGGAATTTTCCCACATCTGATCTATGTTCCCAAACAAGGGCATAATTCCCATTATGCAGAATCAGGACCTACCTATGCAAATTTTAATAATCATCCAATAACTTCTCAGCCAAGGCATATATCCCTCTTTCCCCTGTCACCTTATCTTACCTGTAGTTTACATCACCTTTTACTAAACATATTACATGCTGTTTACCATGGGCTGCAGCTGGAAAGCCTTCGTGTTTCCCACCCCAAAGCCCCTCACTGACCACCTACAAAATTAATTGGATAAGTAGTAATAGTGGTTTACTTGTTTATGTTCAAATTCTGATTTTCATGAACTTAAGGCCAGATCCTCAATTAGTGTAAATTGGTGACTTTTAATGGAGTTAGTAGCTGATTTACAGCATCTGTTTCTTCTAATTAAACCCTTTAAAAATGATTCCCTGCAATTAGTTGGAGGGGAAGATCCTTTAAATATGTTGGTATTATGTACCGTATCATTGCAATCTTTAACTTTTCAGCAGGAAACATGCAAAGAGAATATTAATAAAGTTCAGTGCAGTGAGAAGCTAGCTAGAGTGCAGCATTGGAGAATTATGAACTACTGAGCATAATCCATAAACTCCATTTGGTTACTATAATACTCCAATCTGTATTTATTACCAACCCACTCTGATGCTTATACAACTAAATTTGCTAGATTTATACACTCTAATGGTTCCACAATGGGAAAAACCTGTGTTCTTTATCTTTCCTTTCCTGTCCCAAATAACTCCTTCCATATACACTCTAGGCTTTTCTAGACCTTGTCTGGGTTTAATCACAGGCTGCGGGACAAAATGTGCATTATTAAGAAATATAAATATTTTCAGAAGCAATCAAAGGGTTGAAAGATTGATTCGGCATGTAGATTGGATTTAATTCGAAGCAGCTTTGTTCTAATGAGGACTACTGGGATACAAAGACAGCAGCCGGTTATGGCCACCAGTTGGGAACTTTGATTCATTACAATAACCTGTCAAGAATTTCAGCTAATCGCTAGGTACTAAGAAACACAGTTCTGGGGTAGCTGGAGGTCTTTTGTTTTCAACCTCTCCCTCCAGAGAACAGATTTACATTTCATATTATCTGTTTTACAGCAATGACAATTATGTCTAATTTCTTGCTGCATATGGGGCCAAATCCTGCAGTCTCTTACGCAGGCAAAACTCCTGTTGATTTCAATCTGAGTTTTGCCTAAGTATGGAAAGACTTGACCATCAATGAGAACTGAGTCAGTCATAAATCAGCATAACTACGTTGAATTAAATGGATCTGCACCAATTTACAGTCTGAGGATCGGGCCTGGTTAGTTTAACAGTGACTTTCATAGCAGCTTTTTGGGCCAAATTCTGCTACCCTTACTCATGTAAGCAAATGGGACTATTCAAGGAGGAAGGTGCTACTCAATGTGAGTAAGAGTGGAGAGATCTAGCTCTTTGTTGGCCTAGAAGCTTGTGTATTATTATTTCTGTCCCAACAGAAATTAAACGCCAACAGGGGAAACATAGAAAACCCAGTAAAAATTGATAAGAACCATCATTAACAAATTTATTGCTTTTCCTTTAGACTTCAAAATATATTAGGAAAACTCCTTTGGTGCACAGGGGTAATATGTCACAGGGACTATTCACTTGGGGAATGCAGGACTCTGACAGCTTTACTAAATGTAGTGCATACAGTTAGAATCACAATACATACAGGATCAAACACTGACTAGTTCTTCCCCCCACCATCACTTTGTCCACGCAGGCTGAGAAAGCTTGATTTCTCTGAACTGTTTCACCCATCCACAGCTGGAATTCCAAAGTGAAATGAAAATGGCTTTAAAATCAACACTACATGGGAGCCTGAGAGAACAAGTTTTCCTTTGTTGTAGGGTATAGTATTATTTGCTGTAGGTTTTTGATATACATTCTAAATTAGGCCTGCAAAGGCATGCTTCATCTTTAATTCATCACTCTCAGCTGAAAGAGATTAGCAATGTCTAGCACGCACCCTTCACATGGTGCTGACCTCATCAAGTATGGCCTGAAATTAATTAGCCTCATTCATTCCAAATGGAAAAGGATAATGGAACGGCATTTTAGAGATGACCATCACAAATTGTTTGCAGCATATTTAAAAGCCCCCTCTCTTTTAAAACTATGTAGATTAAAATTATTTCCAGCACTTGCAATTCAGAGTTATCAACGCACCAGGAGCAGTAACGGCTCAGTCTTATTTGTGGAACTGGACATCACATGGTGTGTGTGTACGTGTTGTGTGGCTGTAAAAGAAAGAAGTTTGTCAGTGGCAGAACATCTGGAATTAATTTGATATTTCCAGGTGCTCTGGCATAGCTGGGCATCAAGCACATGATGTTTAAACAGTCTTTTGCTGGATCATTTAAATCAATATGAAATCAGTGTTTCTTTGTCATTCATACATGCAAAGTGCTAACGCAAATTCCAGGTTGGCTTTACAGTCCTACATCATTCATTATCTAATTAGAAATCAGAGCAGACCTGAAACAGCATTCCTTTGAAGCATCCTGGGCAGCAGCTTGGGATACTTTTATTGTGTGACCCACATCATGTTGCACTCTCCAATAATCTACGGGCTAGATTTTAAAGGTAGTTAGGTGCCTAAAGATGGAGATAGGCACCTGAGTGTTTTTGAAAACCCCACTAGGTGCTTACCCTCATATTTAGGTGCCTAAATACCTTTAAACATCTGGCCCTGTGTCCCTTTCCAGACACTCCAATAGTATTTTAAACGATTGCTGCTGACTCTGTTTAATCACAGAAATACACCGTTTCCCCTCTAAGACTAGTTCCCACGCCACTAATGGGGGATGGATCAAGACAGGCCAAGATTCTGAATATTAAATTTGCTCTCTTACCTAGCCAAATATTTTATTAGGAGACTCAGGGCTCCAAGACTGGTTGTGTAAAACTGTTTTTTAGGGATAAGAGCTCGGTGCCCATGATTTTAATCAGGCCTGGTCTAAATTTTATAATTCCTGCCACTCCCAGTAGCAGTAAGGGAAGAAAAAATCCCTAAATGCAGAACTGGAAATAGCTAAATACTGATCTGATACATCAGGTTGAACTATAAGTCCATTAATTTCAGTGTTCTGGCTCTAACAGTGTCCTGGTCCCGATATACCAGAGGAAGGAGAATATCTTCATAATGCACAAGGCCAGTGCTGAACATGGGGGGAAAACACTTTGTGACATCCGCTATGGCCACCTAATGCCCCAAAACAATAGATTTAATTACCGATCCTTTAGCACATATAATACAAATATTTGTCCTGCTAATGTTCCCACTGAAGTCCTAGTGACTTCAAGATTGGGCTTATTATTGTTGGTCATAAATGAGCTTGTATGTTGGCCAGCTGTACCCAGAATGAAACCACTCAGCTTCTTGAGCTTCCAAGTTAAGGTTAGCCCAGTAAAATAAAAATAGATGTCAGAAACAGAAAAAGAAGAAATCAGACCGTAGGTATAAAGCTAGGGGAAACACAGGCTAGATTAAATTGTTATGTTAGCCTGTGTAGTGATTTAGTGTCAGGTTTTTTTGTAGATTTTATCTGAGCTCAGAACTGTTTCCTCCTAAATTAAACAAAATGTTGAAGACGTGAGAAGTGAATTAACTCAAAGGTGCACCAATCTGGATTCCCCAGTCGTCTCATCCCTAATCCACCGACTGCAACAACCTGTCATTTTGGAATATTAAATGTTCCTCATATCGTTCATCTTTCCAAAGTTCATGTCACATCCTCTGAGCTGGACACTTGGCATTTACTTTCCTTTTTGGTTTCTCTGTTAAGATCAAGAGACTTCTGATTGTGCAATGAGATCAGCTTGAGTGGACCCCGGCACTCAAATGGAGTTCCAGATTTGATGATGAATTTTAGCAGACAGAATCCCTGCCCTCTGCAGGTACCTTCTCTCTCACTGTCCCCTCTCCCAACTCTCCAGGGACCAAAAAGAAAATGGTGTTTTGTTTAGTTTTTATCATTTGCAGACATTTCATTGGCATCCAGTTATGTGATGTGGCCCATGGGGGACAAGAGATCCAGAATAAAAATGATCTGGATACATACTTTTAGGAATAAGTAAGTTTCCAAATAAACTCATTTTTTCAATCCAGCCTTGACTATATTAGTACTGTAAATTAATATACGCTACATTCAGAGATTCAGATGTTTGATTTGTCATAATTAAGTATTGTCTTATTTCTTGCATAACAGTTAAACAAAAAGGCCTACTTGTGACACAAAACTATTCTCAAATAGGAGCGACCTACTAGTTTTTGATTCCAATTATTCAAGATACAAATTAGCCAGTGACTTTAAAAAAACTAACTCATGATGGTTATTACAATGGATGGCCCATTTTATCTCTGGTGTAACGCCACAGACGACAATGGAAGTGCACTACAGATAAATTTCACTTGTTCTTTTTAATATAGACATCTTGTAATAATCAGATTACTTTTAAATAATAGGATTACCCAGATGGATTAAAAAAACAGTTTTGCATGTACACAAATCATTTGATTCACAAATACAGGAAAACTCAACAACTGTTTTACAGTGGATAGTAACATTAGACTATAATTTAGAACAGTAAGAAAGAAAGGAACCTCCCTCCTCCCCACCACACACATATTCTGCTGTTAGGCAGAATGTAATTACCAACACTGGAATTTGGCCACAACACTATGAGTACACCAAGCAAATTTTTGCCCATTAAAGCAACAATTTACTCACTTTCAATAACAGCATTCATGAGGCATTGCAACAGATGGCTTACATCAGTGGGTAACCTTATGTATGCCTGCTGGCTGCCCTATTCTAGGCACAATGTTGTGAGTTCAAGATGGAGGATCATCCTTGACTCTGAATGCTCTTTTGTGGGTTTAAGACAGCTCTTTAGCCTAGGCAAGGATTTAGGGGGAAATTTTGTTAATGCATACGACTAGAAAAAAAAATCTTTTTACTGTATCAGGATCAAAGAGTTATTTGTACTCTCACTACAAGTCCCGAAAACAAAGCTTATAGGGGACATTTTTAAAAGTACAAAGATCAGTTAGGCATCCAAATCCCGATGAAAGTCAGTGAGAGTTTGGTGCCTAATGACCATGAGTTTGGAAATCTCCCTTTACGGTGATGTAGTGCTATGTCAGGCCTTTTTGGGCTTTGACTCATGGCCTGTTTGTACTTGGCACTAGAATCAGTGACGTGCTGTGGGTTCTCCTTCGTCACTTGTGGCATTACTGAGCCACTCATATCTAGCAAGCATGCACACTGACACAGAAAATATGTTGCTTAAGAGTAGCCATTGTGTGAAGCAGTCCTTTACCACACTTAATTTTCTTTTCTTTATAACACCAACTATTACTCCTTGGGAGTAATTACCAACATTTCGGTCAGTGACAGTGCTAGAAGACCACAGCCAGTACTTAGGGTGACCAGATGTCCTGATTTTATAGGGAAAGTCCTGATTTTGGGGTCTTTTTCTTATACAGACTCTTATTACCCTCCACCCCCTGTCCTGATTTTTCACACTTGCTGTCTGGTCACCCTACCAGTACTTCCAGCTCCTCTGGCTCTTTTCTATCCTGAAACTAGGCAAACTAATTCGAATGCTTCTAAGTCAAAGATCTGGGTTTGAAGGCTAACTTTATATACGATGCCTCTCTTGCCAATTAGAGCCCTGCTTATGCAGAGGCCTCACACATAGCCCAGGGAATTGAAATTACAGGGGCTGTTTGAATTAGGGGGATGGAGGAAAGTTGGAAAATGACTAAATTGGCAACACTGCAACTGTTGACTGATGGGGGAGTTCGGGTGTTTGTGTGTGTGTAGGGAAATCCCTGGCCCAGGCAACAGTTGTAGTGCCATAAGCCTAGTTGTACATGGGGCTTCATGTGTTACTTCATGTAGGACTCTATAAGACCTAGACCTAAATCCTTAACTAACAGTACTAGTGAGCTCCCATGTAATAAAATATGGGCTGAATTCTGCCCATGCCATCCCTTTGAAGTCAATGGGACAGATTCGTGGCCTACCCTAAGTTCTCCTTTGCACTGCCCCAGCACAAGCCCAGCATCAAGGTGTGTCAATAGGGCAGTTGGGGTTCCTTTGATGCAGGAGAATCCCTCTGCGTTATGAAGCTAGTTTATCAGTCTTTACACCACCTGTTCCCCTACCGTAGAATGGGAGTGTTCAGGTTTGGGCTGGTGATCAGAAGGGTCTGTGACAGGGACTGGCGGGTGTGGGGCCAGGACATGCAAGGCCAAAGGAACTGTCATTCCAGCTACTGCTATAACTTTTGTCAGGTGATGATTCAGCTCCCTGCTGACACAAAGGGCCAGGGGTGGCAGAAATGTGCCTTAAACTACCTTTGCCTCCTCTCCCCATCTGCCCTTAGTGTGAGCCCAGTGAGGCTGAGGCAGAAGGTGGTCCATTGACTGGGATATAAGTTGGGTCTTGTAAGGTACAGTATGAACCAAATAGTTCCTGCAAAAATTAGTGTGCTGTGCAGGCAACATCTAACAAATAGGTTTAATATTAGAGATGGGCAAGACATTTCAGATAAAATAAGGCTTCACCTGAACCTCCACCTGTTTCTCAAACTAAACTCAATCTGTTCCTTTTCTATCCATTTTCTGGAGGAAGAAAGCAATGTAGTGGTGTTGCACCATAATGAATCCAGCTTCAAAACTGAAAAGTGCAATGGGCGCGTGCTTAATGCACTGAAAAATAAACAAATACACCTTTACTCTGATATAACGTGACCCAATATAACACAAATTCTGATATAACGCGGTAAAGCAGTGCTCTGGGGGAGGTGGGGTGGGGGACGGGGCTGCGCACTCCAGTGGATCAAAGCAAGTTCGATATAACGGGGTAAGATTTTTTGGCTCCCGAGGACAGCGTTATATCAGGGTAGAGGTGTACCAGTAAATGGAAAGTGAGTGGCCCATATTTTACACTGAATGTTAACGGATGTGCATGTGCATGTGCATGGAAGACTACTGTGGTCAGAGACTGCTGGAATAAAACTGAAATAAGTCATCGGATAAAATAAAATGTTCTCAGTGACAATCTTAGGGGAACATGCTCCTACCTAAAAATAACACTGGAATTACACACAGAAACACTCCCTGGGATCTGGCAAGCACTTCTAAGTGGGTTGTGCAGTCTGCTCCGTTCTTACAGTAACTGTGCATGTTAAGTAAACACACAGCAGTCACAGAATGTCAGCACAAACAATGGACTGATTAACAGCATAAAATTATGTGGAATAATTTAAACTTTACATATTCCATTTTATATATATTAATGGGCTTCCCCTCCGCCACAAGCTGAGTTGTACGTGGGAACGGTTTGAAAGAGAGGTTGGGAGAATGAGAATTGAAACACGAGTCTACCTGTGACTAGCTCCCTAGAGGATGCTGGTATTGCTGTGTGATAGCTATAGATGCATTAACATTTGTTGTGTTTTCTGACAATGTGACGTCACCTCATTCAACGAGTGTTGGCAAGGGCCAGAACCTCGGCTGGTGTAAATTGATGTAGCTCCAATGGAGCTGTGCTAGTTTATACCAGTTAAGGATCTGGTCCTACTTTTGCTTCTTTTACTCTGTCAGAACACTGCACTGAAATTGGTGGAATAAGAACGGCAGGATTGGGCCATGAATGAGTGGCTGAGTTAGAAAGCAAATGAATTCCTGCCAAAAAGTTCAGCAATGTTTCAGAAGTATGTAAAGTGTCTGCTTTGAAAAGTGTCAAGTCGCATTTGTGACCAATTATCCAAGATGAAGAGGGGCAGACTTATGTTTACACATACTAAGCTGCAGACAAAGTTTGAAAATTACAATTCATGAACTTGTATCAATTTTTTCCCCAGGCCTGGCACTTATGCATGTGCACATTTCCTTACGATTAAAACATTGTTACAAACGTGCACACACGCACGCACACACAGAGAAAAGAAGAGTAAAGGAAACTGCCATATAGCAGCAAAATAATTAAATATTCCAGGATACCAGAAAGATCATGGATCATTGCATGAGTAAAATAGCTTTATCAGCTGGGCTGAAAAATTATGCGGAATGTGTCTGGATTTGTTATTTTTTCCCCAGCTGTGAAGCCCTTGGAAATAATCCACACAAAAGAATTTCGGAAATGAAAGCTGTCTTTGCCATCTTCTGTTTAATTAACACAGGTATACCAGTTTAACCCCATTTATCAAGATATTATAGATGAAACAGTAACTAATAGATGAGAATGTTATCATTAGTGCTGCAAAGCATGGTTCGAAACTAATCATGGTGACTATTGCATTGTGGGCAAGATCAGGCTTCTTGACTTTCTGGCCAGGACTCACAGGTTTGAATGAGTTTGTGATTCAAATTTAGGTATGGTTTATTTTTCAATCGATAAAGGTTTATTGGGCCTTATCCCCCCCCTCCAACCTTAACCCTGAGAATGGCAACAGCTTTAAAAACTATCCATCTTTCTTTCTAACAGGTTCCTGATGTTAAGGGCCTGACCTGAAAAAGAGTGGTGCACAGGTCAGGCTACAAGGGAGGATATGGGAGTAAGCTACCCCTGACCTGCAACCCTACCAAAAGCAGCAATTTTAATAGCCCGTGCAGTGTTTTCCTGATCAGCACCTGAAGAGATGCCTTCTAGCTAATTCCCAACATATTAACTCTATGGGCGCTGAATGATATACTGTATCAGTATATATATTTAATTTCCAGCATGGCTGGAAATACTTGATACCGTAAGAGCTAAAGTTGCCTTTTAAAGCACCCAAATAAAAGTTCACAGACGCTGCATCTCTTCAGCTCCCACTGACTTCACTGACATTTATGGGTGCTCTGCACATATGAAAACCAGGCCACTTACATCTAGGTGTCTAAATATAGATTTAGGAGCCTAATATCAGCCAGCCAGGTTTGAAAACTTCTGATTTTAAATTCCCTATTAAGGGAAAAGGAGCAGCATGGTTTGCAGGCGTGCAAGCTTCTTTGTCCATGTGCCTCAAATCTTGACCTAATGAGACTCATCACTGTGGATGAGTGGGTGGCTAAGTCTTCATGGCTCACCCATGTCCTTAACCTCTCTCCTAAGAAAGTAAAAAATGGGTGATCACTGTGTCACTTTTTATGGTGAAGTTGGCACTTGTCTATCAGTAAACAGACAGAGATGGCCTAACTCATTTCACACTGGTCACCAAATAACCTCTGGATAGTAATGGCTTTTGGACCCTTACCAGCTGTGCTGGATTTGAACTCATGAGCTAGAAATGAAAGGCAATATAGTGTGTTGCAAAGCCCGTGGGCCACCCAGTCCCCTGAACAGACACTTCATTAAGATAAATAAACAAACACTTCCAGTCAGTGGTAAGCAAGGAGTTAAAAAAAAGAGGAAACATCTGCAATTGTGAATGCTTATTTGTAGCAGCTGCCTTAAAGCAACACTGCAGCTGGTTGCAGCAATGTTGCAGTGGCTGCTCTAGAACGCTTAAAAGCCAGCATGATTTTCTGAGAATTAAAAAACACCAGCAACATCCATTACATTACCTTCGGCGTTCCCTTCTCGGCACCATTCTGTTCCCGCACATCTCCTCAGGAGGCATATCTGTAAAGCACACAAACCTTAAGAGTGCAGCTAACTAGTGAATTATAAGTAACTAGGTGTTCTAACAGCATCAAAGAGACCCTGCACCTTGTGCCACCCCCATTTTCCAGGATGAGAGGAGCAATGTGCTGTTGCATTACAACACACAACCTCGTGCCTGAAAAATAATTGCAATCAGTGCTCCAGTTCCCAAACAAGCTCAATGTTTTATAGGGAGGAGAGGCAAGACTATGTATGTTGTTCTCAAAATAGTATCTATTATTCTTCTACTTATGTCTGATGAAGCTGTGCTTGGGGCATAATTTGAGTGATGGGTGCAAGGAGAAGATGGA